TATCACTTCCTACCTGGATTACTGTACTTTACTTTAGTATTGAACAAAAACTTACAGAACCTCTAATTTAGTATAGAACAATCATCTGTGTGTTGCCTGAAGTTCATATTGAATGAGCTAGCACTTTTGTGCCTGTCTTAGCTGCTTCACATCATATCAAAAATTAATTTGATGTAGAGATCTCTTCTAGCATCTTTCTACAGTGATGGTCTGGTGACTGGCCTTGTTTTCTGGTTTCCTTTCTTTTAGGTAATTAGTGGGTGGAGCTCACACCCACACCTAAGCAGGCCAGGATCAGGTGCACAATAAAGCAGATTTGCCAGAGCATCTGGTGGTTCCTGTCCTTCATGTATGCTTGGCTATGAAAGCATTTAGCTTTTGTGTTTTGCATATGCTCACTCTTGCATCCTCTGTGCATTCAGCCATTGCATGCAAGCTACTTTTAGTTTCTTTATGTTATTTCACTGAATCATGTAACAGCCTATCTTATTGTTTGTACCAGAATAATTAAGTCATCATTATTAGCAAATTAGGCAGTGAATAGAGTGACAAAGGAGTACAAATCTCACAAGAAGTACTACGACTATTTTAACTATGATAAACAGCATTTTATTTTTTCTGTCTTGCACCTACAGTCATGATAATTTCATTGTCATGCTAATGACTAAAATCTCTCCTATTTTCATATTTATTTCTAAGAAAGCATGAAAACAAAATTGAATTTTAAATTGATTTCAAAAAGCATTTTTGCTGAAATGTAGAAATGTTTGAAATGATATGAGGTACAAAATGTAAAAAAGACTTAAACTTGTATTTAATTTCTGGCTCAAATCAAACATTATAATGTGGTTTAAATTTGTGTGGACTCTAAACATGTTGAGAAAATGATTAATTCTAACTGAGTTCTTCCAGTGAGGAGGAGTTAATGCAAAACAGCAATGTCTTTCATGTGTACTTATCTGACAGCAGAAAGGATGACAGAGAGCAGTGGACTCACACTTTAACAATATGGACTTCAGGGCAGGACTGCTGCTTTTAACTGTGTTCTTGGCAGGTGAAGATTTTTCACTTACAGATATAAATATTTTATTGTTTGATCCTACTTCTGTTATAGTAAATGACCACTTTTCTTTGTTCTTTTTTTAATCCGACAGGTGTTGAAAGTCAGACTATAACACAGTCTGAATCAGTGGTTAAAAGGCCAGCAGATTTCCACAGACTGACCTGTACAGGCTCCAACATTGATTTCAGTAGCAGGTGGATGGCCTGGATCAGACAGGCTCCTGGAAAAGGACTGGAGTGGATTGCAATCATCGAATATGACAGTGATAACATCTTTTATTCTCAGTCAGTTCAGGGCAGGTTTACCATCTCCAGAGACAACAGCAAAGAGGAGCTGTATCTGCAGATGAACAGCCTGAAGACTGAAGACACTGCTGTTTATTATTGTGCTCGAGAGCCACAGTGACTGGAGCTGGTTGAATGGCTGTACAAAATCCACCATAATGTATGTTTGTTAAAAATACAACTTAAGACTATTCTCTCATACCCCAGAGACAATGCTTGTATGATTTTGTTGTTAAAATCATTGCCAGGAAGAGAAACAACCACAAATTTTTGTATTCTGAACGAAAAGTAGTGCTTATCAGAACATTGTAGGTCAGTCAGTGTCACATCTGTCCATGACTTTTGAATTAGGCTATTTTGTCTATTTTAACAAAAAGAAAAGAAAAAACAAAGGAGAAACCCTGATTATGATCTTTTCTTAACTTTGATCACTCTTTAGCTTTCAGTTACTCCTGGTGTCATTAATTCATACTGTCCAGTACTCCCCTTCTTCTAATACCAAGTCACATCCTCCTTAACCCTTCAGTCATACTGCAAGCTGCACCCATACAAATGTGCAAAATGTCTTCATCTGTATCATTTCAGGAGGTGAGCGCGAGGAAGAGAAACTGAGCTTTGCATATCTGCTTATTCACTGTCAACTAAACTCTGTGTCTGTTTCAGCTGCTTGTGATCACACTGAATCTTCTGTTATCAAAATTATTAAAACCATTTGTATAGAATGAAGAAATATAACTGTTTATATTAAACCATATTCACTAAATAGGTTTGTTTTTATAACACAAATGTAGGTTTTGACTGATAGGGTATGAGACAAACATACAGCTCATCCTGTCCTGTATTTTTCTTTTTTAATGCCGGCGCACATCCTTCTGATTCCCACCCATTCTGCAAATTGTCACCATCACAAAAGTGCAAATTATCTTCATTTTTGGTATCTTTTTGCTGGGAGGAAGAGAAGAAGCTAAATGTATTATTCCCGACTGTGAACAACAAGTTTTATTGGGAAAATGCGTTAAATTTCTTTAATTCATTTTAAAAGGACCTTTCTGAGAATGTGCAGTAGGCTACGAAAATGTGTCTAAAGAAAGTTAGAAACAGCTGAGAACCAAAGTCATTGACATCTGTCAGTCTGGGAATGGTTACGAAGCCATTTCTCAGGCTTTGGGACTCCAGGGAACCACATTCAGAGCCATTATCCAAAAATGGAGAAAAGTTGTATATTGTGTTATGTAGCCTCCCAGGAGTGGTCAGCAAAAAATGACTCATTCAGGAGATCACAAAAGATCCCAGAACAACATCTAAAGACTGCACGTCCAACTTGTGTCAGGTATGGCCCGTATTCATCATTCAACAATGAGATATTTCTCATTGTCCAATGGATGTCACTTTTGCAGAGACAATAGTCTCTGCAAAAGTGACATCCATTGGACAGTTACAATTAAGTAATCATTTAAAAACTGGATGTTGTATTTACATGGGTTTTCTTTGTCTTATATTAAAATTTGCTTCAGATTCAGAAATGTGTAATTAAGACAAATACCAAATAATAATAATAATAAATTACAAAGGGGCAAATAGTTTAACATATGTATCCTCCCTTCAATTTAACGGACAGCTCATAACACAACTGTAGCTTTAATGTGCTAGTTGTGACCACAGTGATTCAAACCATCAACAGATGCAAACCCAGTAGCATCACGTCAAAAAATATATCAACATAAACAGTTTGATTGTTTATATTTCTTGGATCTGGAAAAACAATCACAAATTAACAATTAACTCAGTACATATAGTACTATATAGTCAACATTAGCCACCTTGGATTCTATCAGGATTCTTACCAGTCCAGTGCTCACAATTAAAAAAATAAAGAAAAACATTAGGCTGAATGGCGTTTGTATTTTCCCTTACCAATCTCTGGGAGGATTCTCACTGAGTGCTACCAGGTTCCTCTAACATCCAAAGACATGCTAAAGGTTATAAGTGACCATGTGAGTCCCATGACAGACTGGCAGCCTGTCCAGTGTGTGCCCGGGTTCTGATCTCATGACATTTATTCATTTATTTGTTATTTACTTAGTTAGTTATTTAAGGAAAATAAATAAATATCTCAAAATGCTTTGCATGAGACAATATAACTCTGTTCTAGATATAACAGATTTACTAAATTGAAAACTGCAACAATACATTACATTCAAAACAAATTATCTATATACTGCTGACACCTTAAATGGATCAAAATATAATATATTCAAGAATATGCAAATGATAGTTACTTAAAAGGGAGGAATATGTCTACGATGTCTGTGTGTTAGTCAGAAGACAGATCAGCTCCAAAGATTTCCTCTTCAACATCAGTCATGTTAGCTCTGATACTGCTGCTGGCTGCTGGATCATGTAAGGAGCTTTTAGTGAATTCACTCGTATAAATATATTAGAAGTGCTTAGTTATCAGATGAATGATGGAGATAATGTTAATTTCTGTTTCCACAGGTGTGTACAGTATTGATCTCATCCAGCCAGAATCAAGGTCTGTGCAGCCTGGACAGTCTTTGACAATCACCTGCCGGGTTTCTGGTTATTCTATGACTGATGACAGCTATGCAACAGGTTGGATCAGACAGCGTGAAGGTAAAGCAATGGACTGGATTTCTCATCAGTGGGGTGGAGGCACCCTTCGGCAAAATGATGATTTAAAGAACAAGTTCAGCTACAGCAGAGACACTTCTGCCAGAACAGCAACAATAACAGGACAGAATCTGCAGATGGAGGACACAGCTGTTTATTACTGTGTGAGATACCGCACAGTGATACAAACCACCGACAGACCTGCGCAAATACTCAGACACCTGCAAAACAAAAATGATGGAAATGTAAAAATGAACAATGTCACGCTCACTTCACTGCACTACTGTTTATTACTGTGTGCATGTTAGTGACACGGTGATCCAAAACACCAAGAGACATGCACGAATACTCACAAATATGCACGACATACATGGTGTAAATTTGAATATCAACAATGAAATGAAAACAAAAAATGACATGAATTAACACTCATTGCTCACTTCTTCCTTAACACACAACTCCCAAGTATATGCATTTGATTAAGTTTAACACACAGCTGTGTGTGATTTATTCTTACTTCCAGTTATTAACAAATTCACACGTTGGAAGATTTTGTTGCAGTATTTTGTAAACCACAGGTTTTGTCCCTCTCAAGCTGCACTGTTAAAAAAAACATCTTAAAAAAACAGTAATATTCCGGCAGCTGGGGCGCCAAAATACTTCCGTAAAATAACAGAAAATAACTATCTCATAAAAATACAGTTATTTTCAGTAATGAAAATAGAGTTTGTTGCGCTAATTTTACATGGGATTTTGCCTTTTCCAAGTGCTTTTAGACATTAAATTAGGAACATTTTAATGTGATTAAACAATGAAATTACCTATAAGCAAGGTCAATGAATGTGGCAATATGAATAATAATGCTTAAATTTACAGAAATATACAGTTAACAGTTGGGTTAAATAACATTATTGGAAGTAAAAAAGTTGTATATTCAATTATATTTGATGTAATACTACATTATACAGCACAAAATATTTTGATTTATCTATTAAAACATGTCAAAAATGTTTTAAAAAATGTTTTATAAAATTACAATTCACTGTTAATTTTACATAATATCACATGTAAATTTAGATTTTAAGTGTAATTTAACATAAATTTCCTGAATATTTACTGGACTTTCAGTTTAAATTAAGTGTGCTCCATGTAAGATTGTTGGTTTTATCTGTCACAAAACACCCAAAGAACCCTTATTAAACAAAACCCCTGATTATAATTACATCAAGATTATGTTCATTCTTGATCGTATGTTGTGTATGAGCAGTTTTTACATGCTTATTTTACTTATAAGACATGAAACATTGTTTCAATCATTAACATGGATTTTATTGACAAAAAGATAACCCTTCCTGGAACAATCCAAGAACAACTAACACGGTCCGAGGACCGCTTCAGCCTTCGTCTGTCTTCGCTGGAGGGTCCGAGGGACCGCTTCAGCC